TTTTGAGAGTAGCATGTAGTAATTATGTGCCAGATTTATCAGAAATTGTAAATAGTTTGCGTCAATGTCAATCATCACATTCATTTTTAAATAAATGGTTTATTTTTACAGTTGCGTTTTATTGTATTTTATATAGCTTCACATATTTTTTGTAAATTTGGTAGAAAATATAACATATCCAAATTTCAAGATATTTCATAATTTCTATTCTCTCCTAAACATACAGTCTTTCATCACTTTCTCAACTGTTTATAATTTTTTGTTTTTCACCTCATATAAATACATATTCGAACTTAATAAGTAGAATAGGAATCGCTGGTATGAAATGAATTTGATAAAAACACTTAACTTTTCTCATTAAGAACTTATTCAATGACCTTCCTTACTAAAGGTATTGGTTCATCTGGAGTGTATAAAGGGTTCAGTTGTAATAACTTTTTTTTTGTTGGCGAGAGGGACAAGTACATGTACAAATCAAATCAAATTTATTCATCACGGAAGTCCATACAAATGTATAAAAGACACATCATATAAACTTATTGGACTAGTCATAACAGAACCTACAAGCTAAGGTAGTATAGATACAAAATAAGTATACATCAAAAGTCAATGAACATTAAAAGTTGAAAACATAAAACTATAAATAAGTATATATTTAAAAGAAGTACCTTCTGTTCATCAATAAAGAAGCAATTGTACAATCAGAGAACATTAAAATAACAGTACGTCAATGATAGTGATATTATAAAATATATAATAATGACCATACACTAACATCAAAAAATCATTTGAAGAAAAAAAAACCATTTCTTCCAAATATTTGTGAAGAACGTTCCTGAAGCAGTTTGAATTCGACAATTTGTGAGTTGGACCAAACGGTTCCTTAAAACGATTAAAACACCTTATACCTTGATAAATATAACAGTTGCCCAATCGTTAGCCTGGAGAAAGGTTGACGTACATGTTCACGCTTTCTAGTTGAATATTTGTGAATACAACTATTTGATAACGTTGAAGCCTCTTGTTGTTTTTATATTTACAGTAATTTGCATTATATTCAGTGAAAGCAGGGTAAGAATTTGTAACTATGAAAATAACTGTTTACATGAAGTGTTGCATGTTTATTCAACACCTTGAAAAATATATACAATTATCCTACTTGTTAGCATTGTAGGTATAATGAAAAAAAAAACTGTATCAAAAATCCTTTTTCTTGGCAGGTTAGAATTTAGATAAAAGCAGCTGATTTGAAAAAGTATATCCAGTTTTTCCACTTGTTAGCATAGTATAATAAAAAAAACAGTATTAAAAATACCTTTTATTTTTGGCAGGTTAGCATTTGGATAAAAGCAGCTGATTTGAATAAATATATCCTTTAACAGTCTTCTTCCTTTTTTCTAGAGTTT